CCAAAACAGTGAATTCGCACCATCTAGATGCCTAAACACCGTTCGGATGCTACCCTAAAAAATAGAACTGCTCAATTTTAGGATTTTTCTCCATTTTTCACCCTATAAATACCATAAGAGAGTCCCTTTAGCCATGTTTCATTAGTTTTCAACCCTAGAAAACCCTAGAGAGCGAGAGAGAAGGAGAAACACAAGATTCAAAGGGATTCTGGATTCTCACGCTGGAACGGATCAAGCATGCCAGGTTTTCACACAAAACTATGGAATCAATGTATGAGATTCTTCTTGAGTTCTTTCATTGAGACTTAGGGTATTATCTATGTATGTTTTCAATCTTCTTGATATTTATATGATAAATATTTATGAGTTCTTAGTTTCTTTATCATTGAAACATAGTTTTGAAAAAATACATGCTTGAATTCAAAGAATACTTAATCTTGAATTTTCAAAACCCTATTTTGTTAAATACATGTTTGGTTATGAAAAATACATGGATTCTTGATTTCTAAATTTCTATTCTTGATTAAATCACGTTTTCATCTAATACATGTTCTTGTTGCAAGAAATTATGATTTTTGGTAAAACCCTAGAATTTTGAATATCGAAATTCTAAAGGTTTTGTTGATATGATCTCTTGCATATTTTAATTCTTTTATTATTGTAGTATATTGAGAATTATGCAATTGTGATACTTGAATTGTTAATGAAAATTTTGATTGGTTAAGATTGTGGTTGTTGAGAAAGTTGTCATTTCATCTCTTGTATGGTTTATTGTGACAGACTTGAATTTCTTTCGAGAGCTGTTGTAGAGTGTTAGATGTTAGTCTATCTCAGTGAAAGTGAGATGGTTGCCTAACACTTGTAGTGGATTGTTGTTTGTGAGAGCAACCACTATTGTTCACGCAAGTTCGAGGCTGAGGGATGGTATACCTTTCCTGTGAAGGATTCATCAATGTTGTGGGAGACAGTATACGCCCTTCCTAAAATTGTTTGTAATTTGGTCATGTGGAAAATGATTGAGATTTTGTGGTTGTGATGAGTGAACGAGGTAGAATTGTTGTGTAGATTTCTTAGAAGCAACCAACATAGATGAGAATGGGGATGAACCAACATACATAAGAATTTAGATAAACCAACATACATGAGAATATAAGATGATGTTATTGAATTATTTATTGATTACTTTAATTTCTTGCAAGTTTATTCCTGTCATTGATTTACTATAATCCGAACACTTGAGATCATTACAACTGTCATTGTTTTACTCTCAAAATGATATATATGTTATTTTTCAAATGAGATTTGCCTTCTTTTATTTGTTTTAATACCTTATTGGGATTTGGGAGGGATTTTCTACGGGCTTTTGCTCACCTCCTACAACACAATTACAGATTTTGACATAGAAGAGGATATCAATGTGGATGAGCAGGTTGATTACAAGTCATTGGACAATCAAGACGTGGACCCTATTTTAGAGGAATAGAGTTGTTTTATTTTTGCTTTAGTATTTGAGAGATTTTTGTGAAATAATGTTTTAGCTTGTTTAATTAATCTGTTGTTAGATACTATTTGGTTTTTAATCATAAGATGGAGAAGTTATTGTGTTTTATTGGCGTTAGTATTTATTCTTTGTCAAATGGATGAATGATTCATTATTTAATGGTTATTGTACTCGCTCTCATGATTGGTCGATTTTTAGATAGTAATGCTTTCTAGGGAGAATTTTGGGGTGTTACAGAAAAGCTCATCGTATAATTATGAGTTGAAGAACTTATCTTCTATTTATGAGCTGAATAACTTATCATATGTTTATGAGCTTAAGAGCCCGTCGTTTGTTCATGAGCTGAAAACTCATCGTATGTTTATGAGCTGAATAACTCATCTTATGTTTATGAGCTTAAAAGCTCATAGTATGTTTATGAGCTGAAGATCTCATTTTGAGTATATTAGCTTAAGAGCTCATCTTGAGTTTATGAGCTTAAGAGCTCATCGTCTGCTTATAAGCTGAATAACTCAACGTATGTTTATGAGTTGAATAACTCATCGTAGATTTATGAGTTGAAAAGTTCATCTTATATTTAAGATCTGAAGAGCTCATCTTGAGTTGAGTTTATGAGCTTAACAGCTCATCGTATGTTTATCAGCTAAAGAGCTCACCGTGTGTATATGAGCCAAAGAGCACATCTTGAGTTTATCAGCTGAAGAGCTCATCTTGAGTTTATAAGTTGAAGCAATCATCGTGTGTTTCTAAGCTGAATTTTTCATCATGTGTTTATGAGCTAAAGAGCTCATCTTGAGTTTATGAGCTGAAGAACTCATTTAATTTTTATGAGTTGAAGAGCTCATCTTGAGTTTATGAGCTGAAAAGTTTATCGTCTGTTTATGAGTTGAAGAGTTAATCGTATATTTATAAGTAGACTAGCTCATCGTACATTTATGAGCTGGAAAGCTCATCGTATAATTATGAGCTAAAGAGCTTATCTTCTATTTATGAGCTGAATAGCTTATCATATGTTTATGAGCTTAAAGAGTTTATCATTTGTTTATAAACTGAAAGGCTCATCGTATGTTTTTGAGCTAAAGAGCTCATCTTCTGTTCATAAGCTAAATAGCTCATCGTATGTTTATGAGCTTAAGAGCTCATCGTATGTTTTCTGAGCTGAAGAGCTCATCGTATGTTTATAAGCTGAAGAGCTCATCTTGAGTTTATGAGCTTAGGAGCTCATCAAACATTTATGAGCTGAAAATCTCATCTTAAGTATAAGAGTTTAAGAGCTCATTGAGTATTTATGAGTTGAAGAGCTCATCTTGAGCTTATGAGCTTAATAGCTCATCGTATGTTTATAAGCTAAATAGCTCATTGGAAGTGTATAAGCTGAAAAGCTCATCTTGAGTTTATGAGCTTAAGAGCTCATCGTATGTTTATCAACTAAAGAGATCATCATATGTTTATAAGCCGAAGATCTCATCTTGAATTTATGAGCTAAAGAGCTCATCTTGAATTTATGAGATCAAGACCTCGTGTTGAGATTATAAGCTTAAGAGCTCATTGTATGTTTATTAGGGGTGCAACTTGGGTGGGCAACCCGAATTCAACCCGAGTCCAACCCTAAAAAAATAGGGCTTGGGTTGGAAATTTTAATACTTGGATTGGCCTGAAAAAAAAAAATCACAACCCAAATTGAATTCATTCAGGCCTCAGGTTGATGTCTGGGGTTACTGAGTTCAACCCGAATATTAAAATCGGGTTGAACCCGAATATATATATATAAATATATTTTAACTAGTTTAACTCTTCAGACTCTCACTTCACACTCATGAGCTTCCCTCACTCTCAAATCCCTCTCTCACTCTCAGATCCCTCTCATTCTCAAATTATTCTCTCACTCTTAGATCCCTCTCACTCTCAGGTTCCTCTCTCACTCTCTCATTCTGAGATCCCTCTCTTTCTTGTGCCTTCTCCCTCTTTCACTTCTTCTCCCTTCATATGTGACTCTTCATCTCAGATCACTTGAAAAAATCAGATCTACCCTTCAAAAATATCAGATCTACACTTGAAAAATCAAATCTACACTTTAAAAAAATCAGATCTACACTTTAAAAAATCAGATCTACACTTCAAAAAATCAGAAATCATCTCAATCAGATCTGCGCCTCTCCCTTCATCGATCTCAGATCATATTAGATCAAGTATGTAAATTTTATTTTTATTTTTAGATTTTTTTCAGTTTTCAGATTTTCAGAGTTTTTTCATTTTTAATTTTAATTTTTATTTTCATATTTTTTTGAAGTCCAAAATTTTTTGATTTCATTTTCGTTGAAAGATTTTTTCAAGTGCAAAATTTTCAGATTTTTTCAATTGTAAATTTAAAATGACTTGGTTGTGTTGTGGTGGTCGAAGTGGGCAGTGGCTGTGACATGGTGGCAATGGACAGTGGTTATGTCATTAGGCAGTGGGCAGTGGCTCTATCATTTGGTTTAATTTTCTTGTTTTGTGTTCTATTTATGTTTGTGTAAATTTACTATTATATCTTTATGTTAAACGTTGAGTTTTGGTTTTTGTTGCATTATCTCAAACATTCAGTTCTTAATATTATGGTTATTATGTTAAAAAATTGATTGAAATTGTTTGTTGTTAATATAGGTGAATATTATGTAATATATGTACCAAGCTTAGAACAATAAGCCTATTTCAGGCTTCAATGAACTCAACCCAAATTGAACTAAAAAATCAACCCAAATTTCAACCCGAATTAAGTAACCCAAGTCCGCCCGAATTAAACTCAGGCAGTACTTAGGTAAAGTACCTCGGGTTGAGGTCAAGTTAGGGTTAGGGTTGAAGATTATATACCTAGGGTTGGGTTAGGGTTGACCTCTCAACTCGCTTAACCCCCTCGTGTTGCACCCCTAATGTTTATGAGCTAAAGAGCTCATCTTATGTTTATAAGCTAAATAGTTTGTCGTATATTTATGAGCTTGAGAACTCATCATTTATTTATGAGCTGAAAAGCTCATCTTCTGTTCACCGCCTCCTTTAGGTGGCTTAGCTTTTGCTGGATTGCCCCCACCTTTGAAAAAAAAATTATTATTTTAAGGTTAAGAAAAATTGGTCGTTATCTGGTTACCCATCTTCCCGATTCAGACAAAGGCTATGAAAATGATGTTTTTTTTTGTCTCCGAGAACTTGGAACATTGAGAGGACGAGGAGCCTCGCTACGATTGTCCATTTGAGGAGGGTGCACCAAGTGATTTTCATCGGTGCCCTTCTTTTTCTTTTCCTTTTTAGCTATGAATAATTTCTAACTCTGAATTTGTTATAGGAAAGTCTATGATTTATTTCTAACTTCTTAGGTTTGAAAAGAGTTTGGGAGTTCAGGGCTACGAATGTTTTGTGTAGATTCACACATGTGCTTTTGGGACACGAACCCACCTACAAGTCCTTCATAGCAGTTCCTTCGCTATCTTCTTAGCAATTAGCATCTTTGAGGGCTGCTCGGGTAATGAAAACACCGTCATCTATGCCGCCAAAGAGCATCAAGAAGGGAGGGATAGGGAAAAAGAGAGTTGCAAGAAACTTTATTGACCTAGTGCTTGGTCTAACTTCCAGGGCGGCATCTGGACCGGGTACTTCACTAGTGGCAGTCCATCCTTTAGTAACACAAATTTAACCTACCCCTCTTGTTACATAATTACTCTATCCTCCTCATAGCATATTCATGTTGTCCTCTTTAGTAGGACATTGACCTACGCCAGACAAATAATTCTACCTCCATTACCGAGCCAGTTCGAAGTCAAACCGCTATGAAGGAGATGAAAAACACCGTTGAGCCATCTGATGATGAAACTAGGGAGTCAGATCTAGAAACCTCGAATAGGAGTTCATGGTAAGACATTCACTCGAGAGATTCGATGGTCGACAATGTTGATGTTGTGGTTGGTCTAGCTAAGGCTACAATTATACAACCCGATCTACGGATTTCTGAGGATCTAGATGATGATTCTCTAACTCAAAGTGTTGTTCAACTAATGGTGGTGGTAAGCCCTTAATTGTTCCTTATCTTTCCAAGATTATCCCTCTCTCAATACTTAACCCCTTTTTGTTTCACTTAGGGCATGCAATGAGTGTTTGATTTGGGAGCTTGAGCTGTTTATAAGGGCAAGTAAACAAGGCCCTTCTCTCGAAGTCTTTGGTCGTGGGAAAGTACGCGCATTTAGAAGAGGACTACATAAAAGCTTCCGAAGAGATCGCTCAACTCCAGATTAAGATTGCCAAATTATCCAACCTGAAAGCAACCTAACTAGTGGATCACATTCTTGGGATTTTGGAAATGGATTGGTAATGAGAAGGCAAAAGTAGTAGCTAGCGCTCGCTACTGAACTCAAGCGGTCCATCAAGTTGGGAAATAGATTTGATTTATAGTAATCAACACTCGAGTGGTGCATCACGAGCTAACTTTTCTTGCATACCAATTAATCTTGATTTCTCAAATCATATATATAGGTTTTGACTTTTATGAGCTAATGGAGGTCTAAGGAAACACAAGAGAGGGTTTAAGAGAGGCTACCAAGTCAAGCGACAACTTACCAGAGATCAAATTAAAACTCATTCCCTTTATGATCTACATCTAATTCCTATGGCAAGAATAGTTTAAGATCTTATAAACCACCAAAACTCACAACATAAAGGACCCATGAAGCCTACCCAAGGATCAAAGAAGAATTCTAAGGACGGATAATGGAGTTTGATTCGTTGCCTATTGAAGCTAGTTGTAAAGATGCTTGCAGTAGATTTCCAGAGTGAATATTCAAGGCAAGAATTTTCTAATCATGAAATTGGTTGAGGTATAAGACTTCAAATTAGTTATCTAGCATGGAAAATGTGACGCCCCTAAAACCGGTGGTCCTGTTGACTTCCTGTCAACCAGCGAAAATACCCGTGATTGTCGCATAACCCGACATCATATTTATCACATCCCTGTAACCGAGATTACAACCCATGCGTGGATCATTTTTTCCTTTAATTCATTTAATCCCATTGAGGTTCAACATACCCTAATGTCTCTCATTTAAAGCCCATTTGGGTCATTGGAACCAAAGAACACATAGCCCAAAAGCATGGCAATGTGTTCTTAAAATTTCAGATTTTTGGAAAACCTTCCAGAAGGTTTTTCATAAACCTCCCGGAAGGTTTTGCTCACTGGAAAAGTTCTTCCGGAAGGTTTTATAGACCTTCCGGAAGGTTTTGTCTACTACAATTCAATTTACACTAACCTTCGAAAGGTTTTCTTCAACCTTCCAGAAGGTTTTGCCTGCTGGACCAAAAGTCTACATTAATCTTCCGGAAGGTTGTTGTGACCTTCCGGAAGGTTTTGTCCAGAATTTTATGCCTCTTCAATTTTTCATTTCCAAACCATTCCAATCATGTATAATAACATTTTCTACATTATACATGATCCATACAAGTTCTATTACAAGTATTTGCATACTTTTTTACATGTTAAAACATTGTTTCAACAAAGATTACACAAAATATGCCACCAAAGCCACAAATTGGCTCTTCTTCATTATTGAGGCCCCGAATGCAAGTCCTCTCCCGGTACGAACCCCGCACCTAAAATGTTTCCCGTATAGGGTGAGCCAATGCCCAATAAAAAATTTCCTACAGAGGCTACCCCCCAACCTAAATACATATTAAATGTTCGCATACGACATCCATAATCCTTCAATCATTCCAATCCATAACATATATGTTTCATGTTGGAATCTACCATGCCATGCCATGAATTAAATGAAATTCACTCATGCACCTCAACCCGAGCCTTCACCGGCTCTCTCCACACTATGCAATGCAAGTGTAAAAAAATCATTGTCATTGATGAAATACATCCAATGATCATCCTTGAAGATAAAAAACCGAGTGTTTATAAAACCAATTCATTTCTGGATGTTTTCCATCAAATGAATCATTTATCCAACCAAAACCATGTGTCTTTATTTGGGTAGTAGACTTTTGTGTTGCACCGTTGGCTCCACACACCGATACATTTTTTTGGACTTACACCGTTGGAAGTGTATAAACCAATAGTTGGGCCTTGCACCCGAGGAGAGATCTATCCCTTCTTATTATACCCGACACAAGCTTTCATATATGCAACTGTGCGACTCAGGGGGATATGCAACCCCACTTTCCCGAGTCCACCCATCAAAACATCAAATGTGGTGATTGATCAACCATGCACTCACACACCCATACTCATGGCCATGGATGCATTCTCTCATGCAAATGCAATGTGATGCACCATTGCAATACCGATGACATGCTCAAATGTAATGTATGTCAAATGAGCTATTTAACCAATCTCAAAACACAACATGGAAATTAATATCAATTGCATATAATCACCACCAATCAACATAAGGTTAGCATATTAACAACATATCTTTACTCATGTTTGATCAACAAAACTCATGGCATGTTTTACAAACTCATACTATAACAACTAGATTCCACATAGGCATTTAGCTAGACACCTCCCAAGCAAATAATTCATGTTATCACATAAATTAATCCAAGTCATTCACAAGGTACAATGACAACAGTTATCAAATTACCACAATTTCACAAGTGAATCTCCTATGGCAAAAGTAACTAGGAACTTGCCTGTGCCAATTCCATATCCCTTTGTCCACATATCCATAACCCTAGTTAAGAACCTAGGTCAATGTATTCCCCTTTCCCATTTCATATGACATCTGGGTAAAAAAATAAACCAAAATAGGAGAAACCCTACCTCTTGGAGCGTGAGATGAAGATAGAAAGCTTCTAGGCACCTCCTTAGCCCCAAAACCTTTGAATTTCCCAAATCTCCCCCTTTTGATCTTCGGTGAAATCCCTCATTCTTGGTACGTACGCGTAGCCCTCGTCACGTAGATGAACTTTAACTCTTGGATCAAGCAATTCCGACCAACGAAACTTCTTGAATCGAAGAAGAAAGCCTTGAAGAAATAATTTCTCTCCTCTCTCCCTTCAACGTTTGAACACAACCGGCCAAGTGGTGAGAAATATCTGATTTTTCAGATATTTAGCTCCTATTTATACTTTTAATTGTGCGGTCCATATTGTCCCGCTCGTTTGGCACTTTTGGGTCCATTTTTAACCCGGAACGACTTAATTAAATTTCAATTTTAGTTCAAATCAATTTTATTTGAACTTTTAATCAATTATAATAAAATTTTATAATTTCCTTTTTTGGGGTCCTTTAAAGTTCATTCGTCACCCAATAGTCTCGAAAACATGTAAAATTCAATTATCTCGTAATTCGACAAAATTTGACATAGTAGCTCAATTTAGCGATACGAATCTAACGGTGAAATCCATTTCTTCATCCGAGCTCTATAGAAATTTGCATTTTAATTTCGCATAATAGTGACAAATTACTATTTTGCCCTTTATCGAAAAAAGTTCAAATTTTCTCAGGTTTCACATTCTCCCCCCTTAAAAGAATTTTGTCCCCGAAATTTACACATACATACACATTCAATCACATGCATATGTAACAGTCATATATTACTAAATGACTATAGTAATGTACCTCTATCCTCGAATAAGAAAGGATAACTAGTACAGATGGGTCCTCGTGCTCCCATGTCGCCTCCTCCGTTCCTCGGTGCTGTCACAGTACCTTTACTAGCCTCACGATCTTGCCTCGTAAAACCTGATCTCTGTTATCCATGATGCGCACCGGTCCCTCCTCAAAGGTCCCATCAGCATCAACCACAAGCTCTCCCCAATCCACCACATTAGTCGGATCTGGGGTGTATTTTCGAAGCACAGAGACATGAAAATACCACATGAACACCCGATAGATTTGGCGGTAACGCCAATTGGTAAGCAACTGTACCCACCCTCTTGAGTACCTCGAAGGGCCCGATGTACCTCGGTGACAGCTTTTCCCGCTTGCCAAACATGATCACTCCTCTTTTAGGCATCACCTTCAAGAAGACATGATCTCCCACCCCAAACTCCAGAGGCCACCGCCGTTTGTCGGCGTAACTCTTCTATCGGCTTTGAGCCGTAAGAAGACGCTTCCGTATCAAACCCACCTTCTCTGAGGTGTCTCTAATCAAATCCGGACCCGTAGAGGGTCTCTCTCCCACTTCCGTCCAACATACCGGAGATCGACAAGGCCTCCCATATAAGGCCTCTTAGGGTGTCATCTGTATGCTCGCCTGATAACTATTGTTGTAGGCGAACTCTACCAAGGGTAAGTGATCTTCCCAGCAACCTCTGAGATCTAGGATGCATGCCCGTAGCATGTCCTCTAATTTTTGGATAGTCCTCTTCGACTGACCGTCCATTTAGGAATGAAAAGTAGTGTTCATCATTAATTGTGTCCCCATAGCTCGTTCGAAACTCTCCCAAAAATGAGCCCTGAACCTGGAATCCCGATCCGATACTATAGATACAGGCACCCCATGTAACCGAACAATCTCCCATATATATAACCTGCAGAATTTCTCTAATGTGAAGGTCATCCACGCAGCCAAAGAGTGTGCCGACATCATAAGTCGGTCTACTATCACCCACACCGCGTCATATCCCCATAATGTCCGTAGCAAGTGAGTCACAAAATCCATCGTGATATGCTCCCACTATCACTCAGCTACCTCCAAAAGTTGGAGTAATCCCGCTGGTCTCTGGTGTTCAGCCTTGATCTGCTGACACGTGAGACATCATTTGGCAAAGTCTCCAACGTCTCTCTTCATCCCATTCCAATAATACTAACGATGAAGATCATGGTACATTTTTGTGCCACTTGGATGTACAGAAAAATGAGAGCAATGAAACTCTATAAGAATCTCATCTCTCAACTCCATCGACTGGGGAA